TAAACTCCGAAATATATAAAAGAAACTAAAATTAAAAATCATACAAAACTGACAAATGCCACATATAGGCTCCTGACTTGGGACAGGTGCAAACATATGGTGGGGTTAAAAGCCTATATACTGTAAATTTCAGAAATTGTTGCATGCATTTATTAATATTGCCAATTAAATAAATCATGATAATTTCCCTTTCAATTTAAAAAAAAAAATTCTGATTTAAGTTTTTATTGTATATTGAGACTTTGGATAGTCTCAAGAATGCTTTCACCAATTTTTATGAAACTTTGGTGAATTGATTTTATATATTGACATAAACTCCCTTTACATTTTTATGACCCATAGTCATGTGATAGTGGGTCAACCCTTGACCGTCTGTCCGTCTGTCCCAAAGTCATTGGTTTTTGTTCTCTAATTTAGTTTGCCTCAACCAAATGTTATAAAACTTTTTCAAAAGCTTATTACCACAATACTCAGATCAAGTGTGAATTTTGGTGGTGTCAGTGTTACCGTTCTAGAGTTATACCCCTTTACAAATGGAAAAATTGCTGAATTTTTGGTTTCCGGCTCTCTATCTTTAACTTTAGTTTGCCTCAACCAAATGTTATGAAACTTGCACACAATGCTTATTACCACAAAAAACAGTTTGAATTTTGGTGGTGTCACTTTTACCGACTCAGTCTGTTCTAGAGTTATGTCCTTTACAAATGGAAAAAATGATGAATTTTACGTTTCCGTCCTCTAAATTAAGTTTGCCTCAACCAAATTTTATTAAACTTTAACGCAATACTTTTTACCACAAAATCAGATCAAGTTATAATTTTAGTAGTATAAATTTTACCGTTCTTCAGTTATCTTCCTTTATAACTTTATATGATATGCAAGCCGGAGTATCATCCCCTATTTATTTTTATATAAGATGCAGAGTTATGGAATTTTAGTTGTTGGAAAATTGTTTAAAATTGTCCATTTTCACACTTTGGAAGGTTTTAGAATTGTATTTGTTCAGAAATCACGGCCTTAAACTAACAAAATGTATATACACTTGCAATATCCCTTAAAATGGAGCCAAATTATTTTCATGTTTTGTTTCAATGAATACCACTCTGTGTGCATGTCCTTTTTTAGCTCATCTGGCTCGAAAGGCCAAGTGAGCTTTTCTCATCACTTGGCGTCCGCCGTCGTCCGTTGCCGTTGTTAACTTTTTACATTTTGAACTTCTAGAGAACCACTGAATTCCTTATGAGGTGCTGACCAAGAGTTGTTACTTTGTTGCCGATCTATCATCCAAGATGGCCGGGAGCGGGGGACTTAGTTTAAGATAGGACCCTATAGGAAATACATACAAATGTCTTCTTTTAGAGAACCACTGAATGGAATGAAACCAAACATAGCATGAATGTTCCTTATGAGGTGTTGACCAAGTGTTGTTACTCTGTAGCTGATGCATCATCCAAGACGGCCGCCAGCGGAGTAGGACAATATTAAACCAAATATGGCCTCAATCATTATTAAAGTATCTGTTATGATTTTTATCTTTTTTATATGATTTCAAAAACCCAAATAGAGTCAGGTGAGCGACACAGGCTCTTTAGAGCCTGTAGTTTTGTTTTTTGTAGGTGGGTGGGGGGGGGTCTTAGTTGCGCAGTGCTCAGAGTTTTTCTATAATGTAGTTGATCATTAAAATTCATTTAAAGCATAAACCCAAACTAAAAGGGCAACAAGCTTATCAAGCACTCATGGTACAGCTTTTTATTAAATACGTATTGATATATACATTAAACAGCAAAATAATTATTGATGCAAGATGTCATTAAATAATAATTTTTACTCTTTTTATGTGTAGGACAAGAACTATAGAAGATGCAGAGAAATTATAAACAGCAGAAATGATAGGCAATTTAAAATTTGCAGAAGTTAACAAAACCTAAATGGTAAGTAAACTCATCATAGATACCAGGATTAAATTTTGTATTTACGCCAGACGCACGTTTCGTCTACAAAACACTCATCAGTGATGCTCGATAAGACTCATAAGGCCACTTTTATAAAAGTTATTGCCCTTGAAAGATGATTATCATGATTATTATAAAAATAAAAAGATGTGGCATATTAAATATGAAAACTATTGATCATGGCTCTAAGAAAGCAATTATAGGCCAGTGACGGCCTTCAATAATGAGAAAGTCCATACCCTATTGTCAAAGTAGTCAGCTATAAAAGGCCCTCAGACGAAAAATTGAAATAATCCCAACTGTAGAACTAATTGCCCAGTTTACAACAAAACAAATTAAAAAAAAATAAATATGACAGATATGAAACAACAACAACCACTAAATTTGAGTGTCAGAATAAACTACAGGCTCCGAATTTGGGACAGGCACAATCAGAATATGGCAAGGTTATATAAAAATAAGAAGATGTGGCATGATTGCCAATAAGACAACTCTTCACCAGACAACAAATGACATACCGGTAGATTTCCTGCAAAAAAATAAACAGTCCGGACTAAGCAGGAAATTTATACCTTTCTCTTAATCGAAAAGACACAAAGATCTGTTAGTACTCACAGCTACTGACAGCTAGTTAAAAATCAATAAAAACTAATACATGTAATAAAAAAATCAGGTTTGTGAGCACTCAACCCTACCTTAACCTTGGACAGTGGTTTATCAGCTCAACATATAAAGAACAAACTGTAAAAATAACCGTTGCAATTGCCTCAACTCGAAAGATTGATAAAATGCACAAAATCAACTACCGGGGTAATATAAAAACCCATAGACAAAAGGCACGGAATTAAGAGAACTCACAAGTCATGCAAGTAAGAAAGGAAATATTCTTAAAATGTTCATAAACATGACAAAATAAGCTTTTTTATTGCTGTTTCTCTCTCCATTTATAACATTTTATTTGTTTATTTTGTGTATTTATAGGTGATCAGACAGCTTGGTTTTCATGATCAATAGGTCAATACTGAAGAGGAAACTGAAAGTTGATATCTATCTACATGGTGCCCATATTGGATTAATGTGAAATGGAATGTGTGCTTTCCTGCAAAAAAGAAATAGAAAATTTCATCATAATCACATGATAATGGCTATAAACAAAATGGAGTTCTATCATAGATGCAGAAAAACACAATTGTATAAATGCAACAACATATTATATATATTCGTCGAAAGAAGGGAGAAATGAAGAAAAAAATAGTATTTTGTTGTTGAAAGGAACACCAGCTTTATCCACTCATTTACATCACTCCCTCATATCAAATATACTGAAGAAGATCTTCAAAGAACAAATTGCAAAAATGTTTTCTCTAAGAATTGAAGGAAATTGTTTAGTGAATGGAATAATTTATGTTATGAACTTTTACGTAGTGAATTGAATAACTGTACACAGCAGCTGAAACAGAGGAAAATTAAAATTTACAAGAAAAGTGTTTATTTTATTATTTAATTTGCAAATATGAACGCATTCTTAAGAACTCCACAAATGGTATGACATTCAAATTGGTTGCTTATTAATGTATACAATTGAAACAATAACAAAGAAAACAGAATACTTTGCTACAAAAAATATTTTAAAAATCAAAGTTAAAGTCATATAAAGTATGTACAATACCTTGACCTAAACAGTCAGACTCACTATATTGTTTTTGTATGTCATGAAAATTTTGAGTCAAAAATTTATAAAAGTTTAAATATCATTTGTATCATTTATTAAGTCTTGTAAACATTATGTTCATACTGTTTGTATAGTGAAGAAATTAACAATGAGTAAAAATAGGGGAAAGCATTTCCTACAGGGAAAGTTGATGTACAGAAATTTCCTTAGAGGAAATTTGGAGAACAATGTTTTCCTTAAAGGAAATTTGTGGTATTGAATTTTCCCTCAAGGAAAAGTGTTTGTTAAATATTTCCTCAAAGGAAATTCCAGTTGACAAAATTTCCTCACAGGAAAAAGTATTTCCTCCAAGGAAAATTTGAAGCTGCAAATTTCCTCAGAGGAAAATTTGAAGCCTCAAATTTCCTCAGAGGAAATAAAATTTCCTCAAAGGAAAATTTGAAGCCGCAAATTTCCTCACAGGAAATAGAATTTCCTCAAAGGAAATATTAATGCAGCAAATTCCCTAAGGGAAATCTTTTTCCCTTGAGGAAAATACAATTTCCCTTAAGGAAAAATCTTTTTCCTTTAGGGAAACTTGATTTCCCTTGAGGAAAACTACTTTTCCTCTGAGGAAATTGTTGGAAAAAGGGGCATAACTTTTTCAACAGTGGTGCTAGAGCCAATATTTTTTAGGACAAATATCAGGGAACCAATACCAACCAAGTTATCAACTTCATTTTGACTTAACTCCAAAAATTAAGGTGACAACTTTTGCACTCAGCGGAAGTGCAAACTTGTCCCGGAGACTGTTCTATACTATTGCAGTTTTAGCAATAATAAAAACAGGGAAAATTAAGTGTAAATGTAGTTCATTAGTGATAGTTTTGACCATCATGGCCCATACTCTTACATTTTGCAGACTGACTTCATGCTGCTTATTTTGATCCCTGTGGCAGATTTTTCATATAGTTTAACAAATTCTGCTTTTGCAACAAATGTGAAACGATAGTTAGCTTATTGTTTGCAAAATTTAGGTGGTAAAATGTTTTTTTGTATTCTGCAAAAATGTGTTTCGTTTTATTACATTTCTACACGACATAAATGTACATGAACACGCCACCTATTTAATTTCTGTGGCTAAGGACAGATTTCATATTAAAATGTGGTGAAAAAACATCATTGCATTATACATGCACTTTCAAGAAATACATGTATGTTTTGTATATACCCAGGGTCCCCCATGTCCTTTACCCCTTTACCCTCAAAGTATGTCTTGAAGAGCATTTTTCAATGTACAGTACATCTTTTTTTATTTTTATACAATATTACTAATATTTGTACATGTACTTTTAATACAAAATCAACATAATAAAAACTTAAAAAATTATCTGCAGGCTCTGTATATTTTGATGAAATTAATGGATTACAGACTAAAGGTTCTTGGTAATGGAGAAAGTGAACAGAAAATAGCTGATTTAATTATAGAGGCCAGAGCATCAGTTAATAAATTAAAGTCCAGAAATCAGGTACAAAGTTTTATAATAAGTTCTTTTTACAAAAACAGTTCTTTTAATCATAAGTCCCTGTTTTATGTATATAAGGAATCTTTTAATCTTTTTATGCCGCTAGGAGGGGCATTATGTTTTTTCGGTCTGTGTGTCTGTTCGTACATCCATTTGTCCATCAGTCTCCTTCTGTCCGTCCGTCTGTCCCGCTTCAGGTTAAATTTTTTGGTCAAGGAAGTTTTTGATGAAGTTGAAGTCCAATCAACTTGAAACTTAGTACACATATTCCCTATGATATGATCTTTCTAATTTTAATGCCAAATTAGAGTTTTTACCCCAATTTCATGAATTTCACGACCCACTGAACATAGAAAATGATAGTGCGAGTGGGGCATCCGTGTTCTATGGACACATTCTTGTTTAAGTTTGTATCAGCTACAACTATCATCAGGACCAGGATTCGAACGATCTAAGTTTAATCATATTTTTCTTTTCAAATTTTAATTTGAAAAAATATGGTCCTTGACACATGATGTAATCAAAATGGCAGACATTGGGATTTTTTTTTGTCGTAATTAGTACTTGGATATGTCTCTAATCATGACTTGAATATCATAATATATACCTGAAATATATTTTATCATATTTAACACTACATTTCTTGTAATTTTGTTATGCTTACTTATCATGCTTATTACAAACTTGCTAATTACAGCATGACAATTAACATTTATTTACATATGTTATAAAGAAATAATGATTGATTAGGGGAGGGTTGAGTGCTCACAAACATATTTATCCGGCACATTCTTTTTGTGCCTGTCCCAAGTCAGGAGCCTGTAGTTCAGTGGTTGTTGTTGGTTCATGTCTGTCATATTTGTTTTTCATAAGTTGTTTTGTTTCCAATTAGGCCATTAGTTTACCATGTTTACTCAATTGAATTGTTTCATATTTTTCATGTTGGGGCCTTTTATAGCTGACCATACGGTATGTTTTTTTTTCATTGTTGAAGGCTGTACTGTTGCTTATAATTGCTTACACTTCATTTGAACTTTAGTGGATAGTTGTCTCATTGGCAATCAAACCACATCTCCTTATTTTATATTGATATCACTGGATCCTATAGCTAATAAGAGTGTAAAACAATGTGTATACAATCCATAATTCTTAAGATCTTTGATAACACATTTTTTAACCTCTATTTAATAAAGAAATTGACATAGTTTTCTTTGCTTTTACTTTGTACAGGTATCCTTATTTATTATATACATGATATAGTTCCTCAAATTTAATTTTATATCAATACTGAATCATAGAACACAACAATAGTTTGAACCAACCTCCAACTGGTCCAAGATTCTGTAATGAGGAGTACCTAAATTGCACACATGCCTTTACTGCACATCCATAAAAAACAACTGATGCTTCGTTTATTGTCTCACCATTTTAAGAACAATTTGACTATAGTCAATTTGCATTCTGTAAGAATAAATGCTTATGACATATTTTAGTTGCTCATTTTAAAAGTCTACTTAGTCTTTTTGTGGATGTCCCATGTTATTTTTCTGTAAATCTTAGTTTTTTCACTGGAGACTTCATCTGTTGATCTCTATTTATAATGTGACCATTTTATGTATCTTTCCAATTGATGATTGATGATTGATTGGTGTTTAAAACCACTTTCATAACTGTTTGCTATTTGTTGGTGGTCAGTTTTTATTGGTAAAGGAAGCCAGAGCCATTGGAGAGAACCACGACCTTCCTTAGGAAAACTTACAATACTAGTAAATTAAGATTGGAGTCAAAAGCACCTGCCAGGTATAGGAATGGAATTCCTAACCTCAGTTTTGACAGGCTTGTGATAAAGTAATTGAGCTACTTAGACCACCCAGCAACCAAGGCCCCTTGTATCATTTTGACTATTTGGCTATGTTAAATGATGTGCATAATGACAAATGTTCAAAAAATAGAGATTGTTTAGTCTCTCAAAAAACCTATAAAATGTTCATTGCTTTTTTTGCAAATTGAGTACTTGGTGCAATTTGGGTACTGTGATTTTACAAAGAATGGAGAGGGATCTAGGAATATGCACTAGTCAGTCAGAGCTCAGACATAAATAAGTCTAAATCTACTTTTGACTCGTAGAGGTCTAAATTTGTAGGTTTCAAGATTTGTCTCCCTTTAATTTATGACAAATTATGACTTCAATAAGTCAATTAGTGTTAAGCAAGAAATATTTGACCTGGGGTTTGAATGATAGTTGAGGGGTCACCAGACTTCTTAAGTCCTTGTCGCACGTAGGACTGGACCATTATAGTTGACCCAGAAGGACGAAGCCCCCTGGAAACTCATGAAATCTCTCAAGATCTGCATGTTATGTTCTGATCAAAAATGTTTTTCTTGTCATTTTTTCTCTATTTATTTTGTACTTGCAACCCATGCAGTAGCAGTTTTAGGGGCAAATCCCTTACATATTAAGAATAATTTTCAACTGCTTATTTATATATTTACAGGAATTACAGCTTCTTTATATGTCAGCTTATAACCTGGTGAATGAGGCTTCAACGGCAGCTTACACTGCAGGTAAAATCATACTTAAGATTATCAAGAGAAAAAATAAAAATAAAAGAGAACAGAAGATTAAAGCAACTTGAAAGTTTTACCAGTAATTTTGTAGTCAATTTACTGTACACACACAAAAATTTCACTTTCTATTTATATGCATAGTACATGGCCATGAAATGCAAAATATTAATAGTCCAATCTAAAGCCCAGACTCAGAACACTGAAGAAAAATAACTAGATATACAGAAGCTGATTACCTTAATATTTTTATGAACCCATAGTCCCATATACAAAAATATTTGGTACAGATGCTTTAACAAATATTTTGAACTCGAGAACAAACATTAAACACATACCTGCCAACCCTCCCGTTTTGACCATCACCTAGTTTATTTTCAGTTCTAAAATGCAAAGTATAGTTTGATGTTTATTCATACCTGCCAACCTCTGAAACCTTCAAAGAGGGAGATCTCCCTCTCAGCTATGACATGATATAGTTCCTCAAATTTAATTTTATATCAATACTGAATCATAGAACACAACAATAGTTTGAACCAACCTCCAACTGGTCCAAGATTCTGTAATGAGGAGTACCTAAATTGCACACATGCCTTTACTGCACATCCATAAAAAACAACTGATGCTTCGTTTATTGTCTCACCATTTTAAGAACAATTTGACTATAGTCAATTTGCATTCTGTAAGAATAAATGCTTATGACATATTTTAGTTGCTCATTTTAAAAGTCTACTTAGTCTTTTTGTGGATGTCCCATGTTATTTTTCTGTAAATCTTAGTTTTTTCACTGGAGACTTCATCTGTTGATCTCTATTTATAATGTGACCATTTTATGTATCTTTCCAATTGATGATTGATGATTGATTGGTGTTTAAAACCACTTTCATAACTGTTTGCTATTTGTTGGTGGTCAGTTTTTATTGGTAAAGGAATTTTGTTTCAGGATGTATTTTATAAAACAGATAGATTGTAGTAAAGTGATTTAATTGAGAGAAAAAAATTATTGTCTAGTCAGAATTTAAACCATTCTACCACCCAGGACCCCTCTTAAAACATGAATGGTCATGCTTTACAATTGTGAAAATATCTTTGACATGGTATATTCAGTATAGGTAGTGATTTACCTTGACATTTTCGGGTTTTACACAGCTACATGTGTATTACGTGTATAAAGAAAGGTGCCGTCCCTTGACGTCTCATGTATACAGGTTCATATTTATAATGGTGTTCAATACCGGCTATTTATGATGTAACAAGGCTCTATGACATAAACACTTATGCATGTATTGTATACTAATTTCATATTTTAATTTCCGCCCGAATTAGAATATGTAAATTTTCAAGGGACTATTAAATTAATTTTTAAGTATTAAATCACAGAAATTTTGAAATACGACTTGTCTGCTAACTACTCTAGATGATATTAAAGAGTATTCTTGTCTGTTTAGAGTGGAAATAATGTGTCCAACTAAAGAATGTGAATGACAAGTCTTGCTAAGAACAGCTATTCCTTGCAAGATACACAGCACATTGAAATTGATTCGTCCGGTCTGTCATTTTAATACAAATCACTAACGTTTTCTTGCACTGAATAATATATGATTAAAATATTCCAGCCGAACTTGAAACATTTATAATTACAGCCCCCTTTACACATTTACAGTATTATTTTCTATATATATTCGCGACTTCGAATTGAATAAATATCAAGTCTTATTAATTCGAATCATGAAAACTTCCCTTTTTTGTTAAAAAAGTAAACTCCTCATTTTGATTTAATTGTAATACAGTTACACTGATTTTTTCTTTAACAATGAATATTTATTAAAAGTTTTGAATAATAAACGATTTTACAAATCAAAAACATTTTGTTCTATTGGGGAAAAGTAGAAGATCATTAGCTGAAGTAGTCCGAAGAACTGTTGCATGTAGAAATGGCCATGTGTACTCTTCAAAATAAAGCAAAAAAATGTATATGTCACCGACCTTTCAAAAAAGTTGTGATTAATTTTCATGTTTTTTTCTCGCTCGTTTTGAAGAAAAGAGTAGTCTTTCTTCAGAACATTCAATCTGACGTCATAGTACAAGTTTTCCTTGCTGGCGCACTGTTTGAAAAAAAATGCAAATTGGACGTTTGAAACCCACATTTAAATTTTCAAGAATCAAGAATAACAACTATATTCACCTACTTTATTATCCGGTTATACAAGAGATCACATGTATGTATCAGTATCAGATCTCATGATGTTGTTGCCGCACAAATTTAACCTTCAGAAACACCATCCGTCGGAATGAAAAATTGTTCGAAATAACCTTTTACGACGCTTTAGAAAGGAAAGTCTGTTTTTGTCCTCTCCCTCTCATTAGCAAAATCATTGAAAATAAAAAGAGAAATGAAAGACGACATTGCCTTACTTACAGACTATTTGACTATATTAGACCAGATGTGTGGGTTTTTTTGTCGCGTCAATTTCAGAACTTCGCCCTAACGCACTCTTTCGCTACTGTTGACACACGGACAGACATTAGCACGGACGGACTTCTTTATACTATTATGTGTCCCGACTAAGACGAGCGTATACAAATTATTCCATCTAGTTCGTGGATTCATTATTTCTGAATATTTAAAATATAAGAAAATTAAAATTATAGGTATAATAAATGAATTAAATTTTTTGATTCTAAAACATTTTACATCCATTTAACCCATCATAAAATACGATCCCCGTTATTACTACCTCACGTGTTTTGAATAAACGAGACAGTAAATATAAAATACAAATAAGTTTTTAATTCAAAAATTGATTTAGAATTTAAGAAATAATTTTCCGTTGAAAACTATAAAGTATTTCTCAAAACAGGATGAAATATTATGAATCTAAATAGCTCATTTTGGAAATTAAAACAAAGACAAGGTTGTATGTATAGATTGCAGGCATTGAAAATCGAAATTTGTTTTCAATCTTTCCGGTCATTGTAGCTTTTTGAAAGTGAGAAATTTTATGTTTGATCTTATTCTTGAAGCAATTGTTTTTGTTATAAGTTAAATTTTAGTTTTAAAAACCGTAAATTTTTATTTTAATTTACATTCACTGAGTATATTAATTTCTTATATTTTTTGCCTTAAGCTTCTGTGAGATCAGGCGAAATCTTTATCATTTCTCCTTGAGACAATTTGAAATGAAACAAATGACAAAAGACAATGAACCTTTATCATTTTTATTTTTACTATAAGATTTTGTCAATTAAGCAGTATAGATAAAATTTAACTTCATTGCAAGATCACCATTATTTTACGAGAAATAAGATAATTTCAACATGCATACGTTGCCAGTATATCGAAACTTCTAGAAAGTATTGTTTATTGGCCTATCCTTCTGAAAACTCAGTTTTGAAAATCACATATTAAGTTAAAATTCTAAGCGTAAGTCATATAAATTTATCAGTGTAAAGTTACACGGGCGTACAAGATTTGCGCCGATTTAAACAAAAAATCGATCTTTAATTTGCGCCGATTTGATTCTTTCATTAGCGCCTATTTTATTTTTTTTATCACTAGCCCGATACTTTATTTGCTATACGAGTAAATACATGTACATGTAGTAAACCTAGAATGTATATTGCTTGGTAATATATGGATATAAATAGTGTTCCCTTATGTTTAAGATAATTTTGGTCATATTGTACGAGAACTTCGTTTTGACACGAGAAAGAAAAGATGGCTTTCGTTATTGGCAAGTACAACAAGTATAGAAAAGATAAAATGACAAGAAAGGAATATATCAGATGTGTGGCATATAAATTCTCGGCAAGATAATAATTCATTGTACTAGTATTACATTTTTATGGATTTTATTGTGGTGCTTTGAAATGTTGTACATAGAATTTTACTCCGTGATTTTAGTGGATGTAAACAGAGTGCACAAATATCTTTTAAATTGACTTATCCTGCTCGAAATTCTACTCCCACCTCCCCTTTGTGAGCAGGGGACAACAGTTATATATACATGTTATAATTGACAATTCATAACATATGTACAACTGGCTAACGGAAGAGGTTTATATGATAAATAAAAAAATAAATTTCACCTATAATTTACCTGTACACAATCAGCGCAAATGAAAGACAAAATCATCGCAAGTGAAAGAAAAAAGTGAAATGCAGATAGGCGCAAATGCAAAAAGCCGAGTTCAAAATTTATATTTTTATTAGAACGGAGGTTACAGATAGTGTAGTATCTTTTGTGTCAATTTGTGTTTAATTTCCACTGGGTATCAGTGCGACGCTTAATTCCACTTTTCTTGGAAGACGTAGTTTTAAGCGTACACCATGTTGGAATCCGTGAAAAATGCGAAATAGAACGTTATAATTTGACGTTTTTTTTCATGGCTAGAAACAACGTCATAGAGCTTTTATGTCACTACCAAGTTGCGTTAGTTGATGCGCATCAACAATAGGCTGTTTGGTCTTTAACACCTTTTGGTCAATAAGCACATCCCCAGCTTTCAAATATCTAGATTTGAGTAGTCCCATTCATTTTTAACCGTATGAGGTGAATCAAATGGACTTTTGATTAGATAAACGAATATATATATAAAATTCTTGTTTTTTTGGTGAGTGAAATGATAAGCTTTTATGCTCTTGTTATAACATGTAATTATAAGTTTCCAGATATTGTTTCTCAGTTTTTAAAGTGATCAAATAAAAAAGAAACATTTGGATTTTAGTATCTTTCTTTCAGATTTAATATTAGAATTGTTATCATTTTTATACGACCGCAAAAAGTTTTGTGGTCGTATATTGGTATGACGTTGGCGTCATCGTCGTCCGAAGACACATTGGTTTGCGCACTCTAACTTTAGTTTAAGTGAATGGATCTCTATAAAATTTTACCATAAGGTTCAATACCACTAAAGGAAGGTTGGGATTGATTTTGGGGGTTATGGTACCAACAGTTAAGGAATTAGGGGCCAAAAATAGGCATTTTTGTAACTTCCAGACATAACTTGTGTGTTTGTGTATCGATCTCTCTGTCATTGTACCACAAGGTTCCATATCAAAAAGGGAATGCTGGGATTGATTTTGGGGGTAATTGCTTAAAAATTTTAGGAATTAGGGGCCAAAAAAGGGGCAAAAAACAAGCATTTTTCTAGTTTCATGACAATAACTTGTGTGTAAGTGTATGGATCTTTCTGAAATTGTACTACAAGGTTTCATATCACAAAGGGAAAGCAGGAATTGAGTTTGGGGGTAATTGCCCAAAACGTTTAGGAATTAGGGGCCAAAAAGGGGCCATAAATAAGCATTTTTCTAGTTTCCAGACAATAACTTGTGTTCAAGTGTATGGATCTCTCTGAAATTGTACTGCAAGGTACCATACCACAAAGGGAAGGTTGGGATTGATTTTGGGGTAATTGCCGGAATATTTTAGGACTTAGGGGCCAAAAAGGGGCAAAAACAAGCATTTTTCTAGTTTCAGGACAATAACTTGTGTGTAAGTGTATGGATCTTTATGAAATTGTACTTCAAGGTTCCATATCATAAAGGGAAAGCTGGGTTTGAGTTTGGGGGTAATTGCCCAAAACGTTTAGGAATTAGGGGCCAAAAAGGGGCCATAAATAAGCATTTTTCTAGTTTCCAGACAATAACTTGTGTTCAAGTGTATGGATCTCTCTGAAATTGTACTGCAAGGTACCATACCACAAAGGGAAGGCTGGGATTGATTTTGGGGGTAAATTGCCTGAATATTTTAGGACTTAGGGGCCAAAAAGGGGAAAAAACAAACATTTTTCTAGTTTCAGGACAATAACTTGTGTGTAAGTGTATGGATCTTTATGAAATTGTACTACAAGGTTCCATATCACAAAGGGAAAGCTGGGTTTGAGTTTGGGGGTAATTGCCCTAAACATTTAGGAATTTGGGGTCAAAAAGGGGCAAAAGAACAAGCATTTTTCTAGTTTCCAGACAATAACTTGTGTTCAAGTGTATGGATCTCTCTGAAATCGTACTGGAAGGTACCATACCACAAAGGGAAAGCTGGGATTAAGTTTGGGGGTGATGAATCCTAAGGGGGTTCAAAAAATTTTGGGGGGGGATTTTTCCCCCCCTTTTTTTTCTTTTTTATGCCCCCGCTGTAGGGGAGGGGGCATTAAGTTTTACCCTTGTCTGTCTGTACGTACGTCCGTCCGTAGTCTGTCCGTACGTCCCAAAATTGGTTTCCGTTCTCTAACTTGAGTTTGCCTCAACCAAATGTTATGAAACTTATACAGAGTTTAAGAAATATAGGGTTTTCTTTTTACCTGTAAAACGCAATTGTACTAAGGTAAATTAAACCTTATTAAAGTGCTTCTTGTATGCCCAGTCTTTAATTATGACAAAACATATTTAAATTTAATTAAAATAAATTTCTACTGCAACTTTGGAATACATTTCCTTTTTTTAAAAGTTTTATTATTATTATTATTATTATTATTATTATTATATTAAACTCTTGGTTTTACAAAACAAAGGTGTCAATGTGAACATTTATTAAGTTGCTTTATATACTATTTTATATATATTTTGATAAAAAAAGTTTTGAATAACATTTAAGATATTTCAATAATGGTTGAAAGTTCTGGTATTTTTGATGTACATAAAGCAATGTGAACATGATATTATGTATATAAAAATTCATTTGATGAAAACTTAATTTATTACATGATATTTTTTTAATCCAACCAGAAACTACTTTCTTTGATCATCTTGTTTTATTTTTTTTTTAAATGTGATATACATTGTATATATATATATGTATGTAAAACAGTTCCTAAATTGATGAAATACAATAGATAGATACAAAAAACAGGTCTAGGTTGGTTGAGACTTGGTCGAGTATGGTTCAGACTATGTCGAGTATGGTTCAGACTAGGTCGAGCATGGTTCAGACTTGGTCGAGAATGGTTAAGACTATGTCGAGTATGGTTCAGACTCATATAAAATGGTTTAGTACTGGTCGAGTAAACGTCGAGTACAAGTTCAGACTGTTGAGTATGCTTCAGATTACAGTCGAGTAATATCAAGTAAATTTCAGACCAATTCAGACTGGTCGAGTAAAAATCAGTACAGTCGAGTACAGATATAGGCCATTTCAGACTTTTACTGGTTTGTAGTGTATTATCTTCCAATGTAATTTTATTCGTTCTGAGGCGTACAACAAGCTTAAAAACATCCGGTATTTACATTTGATTTTTGTTTACGGAAACATATTTGTGACGTCACCTTGTTTCGTTGCCATATCACGACAATAACATCATTTCGCGGAATTTTTGTTTTATGAAATTTTACCATGAAAAATAAATTGAAATGGACTGATTTGTTTATTTTGCTGTAGAATAGAGATAAATATATTGTATCTGAAGCTTTGCCTTCGTAAACTGGGGATTTTGATGTCGAAAATTGAGAATATCTGGCAGTATAAATAAGTTGGTCGTAACGCGGAACAGCCATTTATGTGTATAATTGCGTTTGCGCTAAAGGTAGATATATCGTGATTATACTGGTTGACGATAATAGGTCGTCATATTAGAATTCTGATTTATATATAAAAGCAAATAATAATGATATGGTTTGAATAGGTAAATTAAAAATTTTTAAGTTCTTAGACCACATTCATTCTGTGTTAGAAACCTATGCTGTGTCAAATATTTAATCACAATCCAAATTCAGAGCTGTATCAAGCTTGAATGTTGTGTCCATACTTGCCCCAACTGTTCAGGGTTCCACCTCTGCGGTCGTATCAAGCTGCACGCAGCGGAGCATTTTATTATTAAATCGGACTTATTCATCCTATATGTATGTGAAATACATGTTCAATATCTTGATTTAGTTTCAACGAACCTAACCCAAAATTTTTTCCGATGAATCTAACAACCCATTGTTGGATTGCTGCCACTTAATTGGTAATTTTAAGGAAATTTTGCAATTTTGGTTATTATCTTGAATAATATTAATGATAAAGATAAACTGTAAACAGCAAAAATGTTCAGCAAAGTAAGATCTACAAATACGTTTTGTATGACCAAAATTGTCAAACAACCAATTTTTCACAATTTGTTCATTTAGTTTGCCTACTTTAAAAAATCTTCTCCTTTGAAACTGCTGAATCAATTTTGGCCAAACTTGGGCTGAATGAGTTTCAGAGTATCTAGTATAAATTTTGTATTTTATGTTCTTGTACGTCAAGAAACATAGCCATTATGGCTAAAATGAAACATGGTGTAAAATGCATTTCTTTGATTTTGAAGAAAATATAACAGATACAAAGAACATTTCAATGGAAGTTTTAAGCAATTCATTAATATATATTGAAAAGCAAAAATAATCATTGATGAAAGATTTAAGCAAAAAATTACAGGTGAGCGATTTAGGCTCTTGAGAGCCTCTTGTCTAAGTTACATACTTTAATTTGTTCACCATAGAAAATATTAAAAGAAAAAAAAAATTAAAAGATTTACTTTTTATAGTTCTGTCAACAAAAATTAAGCAAAATATATACGGTAAACATATATGCAAATCGTATAAGAAATACATCAATGTATCAAATAAAGTAACCTAGGAAATAATCAGGAAAGTTAATTTGCCTTGATACTTTTAATAATACCAAATACTTAGTTTGGATAATGTTAATAGACTGAAGTTATCAATATGAAGGAGAAAAAAATATGTTTTGTCTGCTTTATTTTTAGTCCCCTACAGGCGAGTCGAAGTCTGATAATTTTGTGCAGAGTTATGGTCCTTGGACTTGAAAAAAATCACTCATATGTTCAGTTTTCCACACTGTTTTTAGTCAGGCTTGAAGATATTGACTTGATATTTTCTTTTTGTTTACACCATGACAAGTTATAGAACAAGTTAGCATTTTGTTCCAGTATAATGAATTTTTACCTGGTAGGGGACTATGTATTGCCATGCAATACTCTCAGAATGCTTGTCTTTGTAGGTTCTGAATTTCACAGCACTGTAGCCACTAGCATGATACAGAGTTCAGATGTACATTTATCTAAGTTTCAAAGGGATTTAAAAGATGCAGAAGCTGAGATGAGGGAAATGGAAGCTAATGTGATACATGTTGAGTCTGAATACATGGAGAAAAAAATGCAATCGCATAATGATCGTGATGTAGAAAATGATGACCTCTTGAATATAGAAAATCAAAATGTTGGAACTGATTCTGAAGCTAATTTTCAGCATGATGGTTCATTTGATGCAGAAAACTTACAAAATGAGACTTAATTTTACATGATAACCACAAGTCTGTGAATTTTCAATATGTCTTGCATATAGAAATAAATGTTTAAATGAAATGTAACGCATGTTTTTGTTTGTGAATATTGTTTCCCCTTAATACTGAACCATCAGGACCAATGGCTTTAGACTACATAATGTTTTTAAGGCCACATCAAATTATTTTTTTTCTGTACATGTCCTCACACACTGATTGTTTTCTTCAATTTTTTTTTTTAAAGATTACTTTTGTTTTTTGTGAAAAACATGACATTGAATACTGGTAAGCTCCTGCATCTCCATATGACTGGTTGATAAATTAACTGTAAGGTGCTTCAGTACGCAATATTACATGTATATTTATGATGATAAACTATTAGTGTGATATGAAGATACCCTGTTTTGTATGAGACTATAGCACAAGGTAAACAGTCTGCCGGAAGACATGTTATCTTACCTAGATGACCTATTGTTCTAATTGAAATAGAATTTAAAAAAAGACAGAACCCCTTGGTAAATTCAAAAATGGGGAAGTCTAAAAACCTGACAAAATCAAGGGCTCGTCTTTATCAACCAACAGAACGAAAGGAAAACAACTGTCATATTCCTGACTTGGTACAGGCATTTTTGAAGAAAATGGTGGGTTAAACCTGATCATATAGCTAGCTAAACCTCCCACTTGCATGAAAGTAGTTTACAGTTGTTTTACATTGGCGAAATTGGGTGAGCAACTCAAACAGACATAATTGATCAAAGATGACAATAATTAGGATCAAGCAGTCAAAACTAAGAGCATTTTCTTTTTGTTCTAACTCTGTTATGCCTGGCAGTATACTGAGAAGCAGCAAATATGAATATTTTTACAGTTCTTGTATTTAAGCTGCGGATAATATAAGTTATATGGTTTGCTACTGATCTGTAGGAGGTGGATAGTGAACCGTATAACGAATTTATCACACACAGGACTTTTCCTGCCAAATTTTGTATAAAAATAAGCAATAAACTACAATAACATTATTAATCAATGATGTCACCATTAGTAGACATGACGTCATGAACCCCATATGAAATCGACTGACTCCATACAAATCCATAGGGGTCACCATGTGACAGCGTTAAACCAATGGTAACGTCCACTAATTTACCCGAGGTTTGATAAAACTCATAATCTCATTGGAGGCTGTCATGCAATTACTAACATCAAGGTAGTTTCTTCTTACTGTGGAAAAAGTATATACATTTGAAACTTTATCTAGCCAAAAAAAAAATTATATTTTATTTATTTCGTTTTGAATTTTTCTTGGACATATTTTTGCTATTTTACTATTTCCTTAAAATGATATTTGTTTTACATTTTTCCTTTCACATCTGTTTTCAGTAGTCTTTTCTACTTAAAGAGTAATTGTTTTGTTTATGTTTTAATGAAAAGCAGTATTCTATTTTATTTTTAAATTATTTCTTTTTTCATAAATGAGAATTAGAGCCTATGGATTTTTCTACATTCTTAAGTTTTATTGCAGGTTAAGGCAACCAATAATGCAAACATTTTGATTGTTGAGTAAAAACTATCTGTCATAATTTGTCTTAGATTTACATACAAAGTGTATTATTGAGACAAAAATCGTCATCCTAAAGTATATTTCAATTAAAAGAAGGAAGAATAAAAGGTCCATCTTTTCTTTCTTCATAAGAAGTTCCTGTGTGAAGTCAGCCTCATATGAATAAAGGAACAAGTCGACAAGAAGAGGAACACAGTTTGTTCCCAGGGGAATGCCGATTGTTTGTTGAAAAACGCGTCCTCAAACGTAACAAATATGTTGTCAATCAAGAAATCAAGCATCTTGATAATGCCAGTTTCAGACAATTTTTTGTTTGAATCAGAGTGATTTTTTACAAAGTAGGATTTATCCCTCCCTAAGCCAAGATACTTGTATCTACGTTGGCCATTTTTTTTTATGAAACAAAGCAGGACCAACTCTTTCAATTTGTCTTTTTGTTTGGAATGGGGAATGCTTGGGTAAAGTGAAGAAAAGTAAAATGTTTTAATACTAATGCAAGATGAAAGAGTCTTAGATTGTATGTACTCTAAAAGATCTTTAGATGTTTTCAGTATCCACATCTGATTCACGACACCTCTAGAATAGGTAGTTTTAATAAACTATGAAAATTAGGCAACATTAACCTCACACAAAATTTGAAGGGGAAAAAGGGGGGAGGGGGGTGGGGGTGTAGGGGGAGTTGCTTACTCTGGTGTACTGAAAGGATAAACAATAGCCCGAGTATTTGCAATGTTACTTATATTGCCTTGCTCTCAATTATATGCTCAAGTGATAAGTTAATATTTCTGCTCCTCAGTAACTATTTATAGGAGTTATTGCCATTAAAAGACGATTTTTGGCAAACTTTAATTTGTTTGCCTAAAATTTTGAAATCTTTAAAATATAGATAGAATATGTAAACATAAAAAATGATTTATAGCAATACAATGTCTACAAATATGCAAAGTGACAAGGACTATCGGATGACTGCTTAAGAAGTATTGTCCTTAAATGGAGAATTTTACTACTGCTATTGTTTTTGCATTTTCTCTTGAATTCTTATAAATAGATAGAAACTGTGAGAAGCAAAACTGACAGCCATATAAGATCTACACAAATGTCAGTGTGACAAAAAAGAAATTTGATGACCCATTAAGGAGTGACGTCCTTTAAATGATAATTAATGAGAAACTTTTTTTGTTTTTACCAATTACATCGAAAACTGTAATAGGTAGAATTTGCTGAAATGCAAGGCCGCGGTTAGGAACCGATTATTTACAGACGTTGCAAAATTATTTGAGTATATGGTTACATCGCATTAAATATTATCGTTACATCTATTAATACTTTAACATAGTTTAGTATTATAGCTGAAATCTTCGATATGCTTTGTTATAATTATCATTTCAACACGTAATATTTAAACAATTTTGAACTTTGGGTGCGTTTGACTTAAAAAATTTGGAGATTCGAATTTTGTATGGTTTTATAAACGAAGTTCGTGAAAAAGTCGATGCATCAAAAGCGAACTATGACAGTTGTGATCTCAGCAGTGAACGAAAATTTTATGAACTTGTATCTTTATGTATCCATGGAGGACGTAATTTCGTATCAAAAATCGGATAGAACACCAAACGTCTTATGTATATATTTGTTCATCCTGTATTGAAATATCAATGGGTCATGATATTCATACGAATCTTAAATATGTAAATTCTCACGGTGAAACTGAAGTTCTAGTTTCACTGTTTCTTAATCCCGTTGATCACAATAGAATTTGTTAGCCATCTATTTTATCATCAGTATAATTATAAAAATAGGTTGTTGAAGTAACAATCCTTCAAATTAACCTCGAGTGAATTTTCTCGATTATCTTTTATCGTTCTATGAATATAATATGTCTGCACGCTAGAACTCCAAGAACTCACTGGTTCCGTTTGTATTATTTAAATCATATGTTTTAATAAAATTGTGAAATGGTCTGAAACCCCGGTCTTTAATAACATTAACAATACATATTTGTAATGCACCAGATGCGTATTTCGACAATCAATGTCTCTTCAGTGATGTTCGAGGCGGAAATATTTGAAAAAATCCAAATCCTAATGAAAACGTTGCATTGTGCTATTGTCTTTTTGTCTAAATAAACTACACACTGTATAGAATTAATATTGTATTATCAGAGACATATAGTAATATAATACTATATGTCTCTGGTATTATTGAATTAATTTAGAATAAAAGGGTTTTAAGGTTGTATTTTAATATATTATATTCATTGAAGTGCATAGACGTAACAAAAACGCATGTAACTGTCGAAACAAATATAATTGTTACTTCCGTAATTAATCAATTCCTAACCCGACCTTGCATTCTGTCAAATAGCCCGAAAACATAACAATGATTTTTGTCTCGCCTGCGACGAAAGTCGAAGAAGCCGAGAATAAAGGTATTGCTTTTCCGGCGGTGGCGTCCTCGTCGTTGGCGGCGTCAACAATTGTTAAGTTTTCTGCTTAGAAACAACTTGTGATAGATCAATGATATCTATGAAGTTGCATTCCTATCAGTATTTCTCAGTTCAGAGATCATTTTAAAGTGCTGTCCTCTATGTCATGGTCCAGTAACTTTGAATTAATTAGCAATGTTGCTGTCCATCAGATTGTCTTTTTTGAATTTTCTGCCAACAGACGAGACATATCTCTGTGTCAACACTTTATACGTTTTTATTACGTTCGCACCGTAATCGTAGCCAGTAACTTCATTCATTTCTTCTCAACCTAAATATAAACCCACCATTTTCTTCAGAAAATGTCTATATCAAAACAGGAATATGACATATTTTCCATTCGTTCCTTTTGTTGACATAGTCGAGCGTTCAATTTGTCAGGTTTTATGGACTTCCCCCGTTTTTTAATTTACCTCGAAGCTCCATAGTTTTGTTCATACTTTTTTCATAACCAACAATTATGATTTAATACACATATGTACACAATACGCAATCGAATACACTATTTACAGTGTAATGTAATATGAGATTTTTGTATACCCTTCCAGAGAACACGAGATCTCCGCCGTTTTTGATATGGTTCGTGTTGCTCAGTGTTTAGTTTTCTATATTTTGTTTTGTGTACTGGTGTTTATTTATTTTTTTTTTTTGCGTTAGTTGCCATGGCACTGTCAGTTTGATTTGGACTTATGAGTTTGAAAGTCACTTTTGTATCTTTATTCTCTCTTTTGAAGCATATGACCTTATATACCAATAGTCACCAACTATACACATATGCTCCAATAATGTAACCTACAGTCATACTTGTTTGTTTGATCTAAATTGCAACTAAATAAACACCAACTTCTTAATAGAACATAAACCAGACTTAATATACTAAAACTTACACATGCTAACAATCTATAACATGTATGCAATCGAATTTGTTATACACTTCCTGATTAACTATGACAAAACAATATCAGGAAATTAATGACTTTAACAGATATCATTGCAAACAATAAACTTGCATAGATGTCTAATTTACACTCTTTTACCACTATTATCAAATAGAAAACCCAGTAAACAAACAGACAAACAACATAAACAAACAAACACTTACACACATACAAAATAAGTCAAAATATCTTTCGACCGGTCTACTTCCATTTAACAAACTTTAGATTGTCGTCTGTTTATGTAGTTCATTCGTGTTTCTCGTTTCTCGTTTTTATATAGATTAGACCGTTGGTTCTTCCGTTTGAATGGTTTTACACTAGTAATTTTTTGGGGCCCTTTATAGCTTGCTGTTCGGTGTGAGCCAATGCTCCGTGTTGAAGGCCGTACCTTGACCTATAATGGTTTACTTTTATAAATTGTAACTTGGATGGAGAGTTGTCTCATTGGCACTCATACCACATCTTCCTATATCTATTTAGTATGATTAATAAAAGTCTAATAGTTTATTGGTTATATTCATATCATTATTGATTGTTAGAGAAATTATTATTTTCCTCAAAACTTTTGTTCAACATGTATATATATATATATCCGAATGCAAGTTATTTCTCAAACGTAGAAAATCATTTCAAATTTTTCCAGTAGTTTTTTTTGCGAAAAAGTCATAATATATTATCCCGTCTATAATTTGAATTCCAAATTTAATGGGGTTATCAAATGTGAATTTCAAGACAAGAATACATCAAGACATGATTTATTAAACATGGAAGTAAAATGTGTTGGTATTTGAATAATACGTTTATTTCGTAACTGTATAAATGTAAGCATTGGTCTTCCAATTGACAACTAACAACCGATCAGTTGTTCTTTCGTAGGTTATACACCATGGTAAGGTAATACCATCATCTTCAGACAATAACTGTCGATATTTCTGCCCATCAGGAGAAATAACAACAACTTTACTCAACCTGTTGTCGACAACATACACGTTTCCTTCATTGTCTACAGTGATACCCAATGGTACAGGTAAGACACCCTCTTCTTTAAAGGTCCATCTTGGTTTGCCCCGAAGATCACAACATGTCACAGAGCTTTTGTCTAGATCGGTGTAGTAAATGTAGTTACCAAAAGATGTTATATAAGCATTGCGACTCATGCTACTAGAAACTAAATTTGTCACGGATTTATCACGAATATTCATCATTTGTATTCCCTTGTTCCCTGCACATAATATGAAATAACCATCTCTGTACACTATCCCACCTACTGGAAAATCCAATGACAATTTTTTCATGACTTTCCGTTTTTCCAGGCAGACGAAATTTATATGACATTGGTTCTCAAAGCCACTTGATACAGCGATTGTATTGTCTAATGGATAATGTGTAGCATCAAAAAGATTGCCGTTTAATTTGATTTGGAACTCTGTTGAACCGTCTTTGTTGACAATACTGAGTCCACTTTCCGAACTAGCTATTGCATATCTGCCATCCGCAAGATAGATACAACCTGTATTGCCACGACTTACCATTATAGTTTGGTTTAAGTTCAAGTTTATATTATCAATCGATCCGGTGTACAACTTAGAAGACACAAGTTGTGCTTGTACATTCTTTCTTTGAACAATATTGATGGCAGTAGGCTTATAATCTGCACAAATGTCTCCAAATGTTTGAAAATTGACCGAGAACTTCTCTAAGCCTGTATCCAGATTAAGAGACAGATACGTTTCTTCAAGATTGTCGCTGGAGAGTAGTTCTTGTATGGATTTAAAACTTTCGGTAGCAATTATATCGATATGTTTCATAGCAAGGAATGACTGAAAGTCTGAAGCATACTGTTTGATATTGGCAATATCAGACTGGATTTTTTTTACTTCCTGTTCCTTTTTTTCAAGTGGTTTCAGCAAATTACGTATCTTCTTACATTCTCTTTCCTCAGTTTCATTTAGTTTTTTTATTAGATTGTCTTGTATTATATCGAGATGGGAGTTTATTTTCAATCTAACCTGCAGTATTTCAATCTGAATTTTATCTTTAAGATTTTTGAGGGATTTCAAATTTTCTTTTCTATTCTGCATGATTCGTTCATAGTTTTCAGCAACTTCTTTTAAGGTCTGTTCGATTTCCTGAAATGCGCTTGATGTTTTTACATTGTGTATGACATCCTCGAGTGGACATATTTCTATGCAGCTATTGTGGTTTTCAGATATGCATCTTCTGCAACAGGGAGACGCATGCTTTTTACAGTACATTTGGTATTGCTCATTATGTTCACTGCATATTAGTGTGGTTTTTAAGATATCAAATGGCAACTTTTGGTAGGCCGACGCGGCTATAACGCTGTGATTTCGCGATGATTTAGACAGTGTATGATGTTCTTTACAATCCTCACATAGGCCCTCGTCGCATTCTGGACACCAAACTACTGATGGTTTAGAGATATGTCGAAGGTCACATATACCACACACAGGGGACAGAGTCGCCATGTTACTACAAAATACATATCGAATACACAATTGTTAAACTAAATGGATTGTATTGGTTGTGTTTATATATCTTTCTGATTCTTTTTGTAATTTTATTGGGATATAAAAGCGTTAACCGAAGCACATTTTGCATGAAGCGAGGAAGCATTCATTTCTTATAATAATATGTTTATGTTCAACCATGAAACAGCGTCTTGTAACAAATTTTGCGTTTGTTTTACTGTGTATCACTATGATGATATCACTGCAAGCACGTGTTTTCATGAAAATTGAATATCATAGGATGGTGAAATCTAATTATAGAATGCCTCATGATTGTTGTCAGCCAAAAGTACGGATTCTTATGAGACATGCATGTAATGTATATTATTATATATACGTTTTTAAATTAACACAACCTTTATGGGAGTCATTAATACATTAACTATAGATTCACAAGCGAAGGTGGTTACAATGACTTTCATTGTTATCTTTTGTGTAACTTTTACCGTATTTTTACAGTTAATTTAACCAGATAAAATCATGCACAAGATTTAAGGCATTGTAACCATCATGCCAATATAATGAATTTTTGTTGTACTTTTTCATTGACTCTTACATGTCTTACTTTGTCAGATTTTAGACGTTTATTAAAGGGACTTTTTTTAAAATTATTTTAGAGGAAGGTGATTGGACTTAAGCAACCTATATATACATAATAAATATAAATGACACGATTTTGCAAAATCAACAATCTGACCACTGACAGAAGTCTTCTACTCAATCAAGCTTAAAATAACATTCTAAACCGCAATATGTTGCAGATAATAAAAAAAAAATTTACAAATTTAAAACAAAATGAATGATAACCATGATAACATTGTATTTACAATCTTAAATAAAAAATAGAACAAAAAGTTAACGCGGGTCCGTGACTAAACGAAGTTAGTTACCCACGCCTTATTTTCAGCCTAGATTTTTAGTATTCGTATTGTCATTTGATAAAGTCATGCTGATTATAAATTAAGGTGAACAGTTTTCTCTGCTTTCAAAATCTTTCTGTTTGAATCCGTCCTGGTTTTCCGTTACTACAACCGGAAACTACTTGTAGAAATATTTTTTTGGTCAATGATTGAATTTACTAGTGAAAATCCCTGTATAATAATGAATTTCAGGTTAGATTATGACCTGTGTATATAGCGAATTCCAAAATACATCCGTACGGTGGTGCGCCTGACAGAGGTGGAACGTTCAGATTAGGTAACAGGTAACAGGTACTATTGGTATCGGTATCAGATTCGACACGGAACTTGTTAAATATTGGTAATATTAATTATGTGGCCAGCAAAAAGGCCTGGAATGGTGTAATTTCTAATCAACACATCATGACCATTGTCCAATATTAGTTATTTATAAAGTTAAATTCTGTGATTCGTCGTTTTTACGTCATGCCGGCTAACAAACATGACATCGTTATTTTAGTACAATAGATATTATGTCAATGAAAACATAATATACCTATTTCTGTGTGAACTAGCGAACTGGTTCACCAGGCTGACCCAAGAATCTTTAAATATTGGTTAATTGTATTGTATGTGTATACAAATCGAAAGTAAACTACATGAACAGTTATACATCATTTAAACAAAGCCATATTCTATTGAAGACAAAAGCTAAATAGTATACTTTAAATGTAAAATGCCTACATACAATGACAATCAATAACAATGAAAAAATATAATTAAATCATACAGATACCTCATAAATTCGTACAACCATAACAAGAAAGTTATGTGAACACGTGATTAGCTATCATCTAGAACCATAACAAATAATTACCTGTCCTTGACTGTTTTATCTATTAAGTATTTTAGCGGGTAAATTTCAAAGGTCAAAAGTTGTATGCAAGGTTAAAAAAAGGATTAAAACTTAATAACGAATTTCTAACACTGTCTTATATGTTACTGAAGTCAAGATTAAGTAATCGTAGGAAACTTGGATTAAATTAACACAGTCTTAAGCTTGATTATCTGCTGATAAAATTCAATGTGAAAAGGAAAGGTTATCTACGAACAGCTAAATCTAATTTTGAGCATAAACATGCATTAGACTAATAAGGTTCGAATGATAAGTTTTAGATATTTTTCCAAGTCGCCAAGTTCAATAGCGCTATTAGAACATGATGATGTTAAACTTACAGATGATAAACAGAGGGCCCTCGTATATTTTTGTCTGCAAATCTTTGACAAAAACAAAATTGTTGAAATTAAAAGAGATCACTGATTAACATCGAGACTATTGGACTTTAGATTTGTTTGTCACTTTAAGGTGTTAGCACCGCCCCCATACACACTTTTCAGTCAACTCTTACGCCAATGAAAAAGATAAAGCGGAAGCTTAAACTTACTTTTCTATATCGGGCCGTACAAAAAAAAAAAAAAAAAAAAAAAATAGAACACTCACTTGATTTGTCTGATGTGAAATCTGATACTGCTTTATTTGATTTGAATATAACACATGCTTCCGAAAGGAATAAGAAAACGCTTGTTTAAATAGATTCTTTTCAAATCGTGTGGACCCGATGGCATACACGCCAATGTTTTGCATAAATGTTTCAACATAGATTTACCACTATCACTATGATAATGAAAAATCTCATAACATGTAGAGATACCTCATCAATAGGTGAGTCCATACATATATCTATACAAGAATGTCGTTTGATCACTCAATTATCAGTCGTTGTTATTTTTATCAATCTAATGTTGGCGGATTAAATGGCTGTCTGTTCCATAATGGAATTTTATGCGACTGTCATACAAGTGAGAGGTTTAGCGCTATAAAACCAGATTCAATCCATCATTTTCTACATTTGAAAATGCCTGTACTAAGTCAGGAATATGACAGTTGTTGTCCATTCGTTTGATGTGTTTTATCATTTGATTTTGCAATTCGATTAGGGACTCTCCGTTTTGGAATTTTCCTCGGAATTCAGTATTTTTGTGATTTTACTTTTTTTCCATGCTTTATGGCCTTGAATTTTTCTTTTAGTTTTTGTGATCAGTCTACCTTATCGGATGATATCTGTTCCTTAGTTTTTATGCAGGTCAACAATATTGGAATGATTATTGCCTGCAAAAGTATTTTTTTGAGTCTGACATATATTATATGGCATTCATCTCAATTTCACAGACTAGTCGTCAAGTTAATTTTCAGAATTATGAGTTATGTTCCTTAGTGAAAGAGAGGCGAAAGATACCAGAGGGACATTCAAACTCAAAGTCGAGAATAAACTGACAATGCCATGGCTAAAAGAGAAAAGCAACAGACAAATAATAGTACACAAAACACAACATAGAAAACTGAAGACTGAGCAACACGAACCCCACCAAAAACTGGGGGTTATCTCAGGTGCTCCGGAAGGGTAAGCAGATCCTGCTCCACATGTTGCACCCGTCATGTTAGAACAAACCCGGTAATAAGTCTAATTCGGTAGGTCACATTCGGGAAAAGGGGACGGGATTGTAGCTACGAAATTAGGAACATATCCGCAATCATCTGTGAAACGGATAGTCCATAACGATCAACCAACTTGTGATGGCGTCCGTAAAACTTTCGAAGGGATATGTTCAACTTCACCACTTGGAATTCTTGGTTTATTACCTACCTTGTGAGCAGCAACCCTCCATCAAGAAAAGCATGATAGGAAATGCAAGCCCTGGAACACCGAATCAACTGGGAGATATATACTTCGAATGCAGGCGCTGCTGGAATGTTTCTACATAGAAATGGAAAGTTCACCATTGGGAAGCTGAAATCATCTCTTTTGTCGTAAAGTTATGTTTTCAACCGACTCTTATTGTGAATTGCTAGATGTAAGTCAAGATATGAGGCAGACTTAAATATATCTGTTGTATCCTTTATCTCAAGTTCGATGGGATAGATGCGTTCAACATAATCACCAAATTTTGAATTATGTAGTGAGAGAACATCATCTATATAGCGGGAAGTAAAGTTAAAGGATACTGCTAACTTCTTTTCCTTTTTTCTTATAAGTTCCTGTATGAAGTAAGCCTCATATGAATAAAGGAACAAGTCGACGAGAAGGGGGCACAGTTTCTTCCAATGGAAATGCCGATTGTTTGTTGTAAAATACGTCCTCCAAACGTAACAAATACGTTGTAAATAAGAAAGTCAAGCATCTTGATAATGTCAGTTTCAGAGAATGTTTTGTTTGAATCAGAGTGTACGTTGAATTGTTTACATATATGAGATCTGCACTGTATAGATTTTATGTGTCATGGTGGTCTCGAGTACGAGTGATACTGGTTTGACCCCTTGTTACTATATAGTTGATATTTGATCTCTTTGCATATAAAGATTAAGGCAACGAGGTGACGCTAGCTCGTATTTAGAGATTTTTGTTCGGATTAAATGACAGGATTTTATATATCTACTTTGCTCGCATATTACAGTATTTGTTCCTGACGAAATAAAATGTATAGAATCGTTGTTCCAAAAAGATTAAATATCAAAGCATGGTTTATGAATAAGTTCCTTTGAAGGAACAAGTATACGTTCACTATTAATCAAACATCAGCCAATCAATCGTATGATCATGTGATTCAATCTGTATGAAAACTGAAATGAAAGTAAAAATTTTCAGAAGATTTCTACGCTACCGTTCTCCACTAGATAAAACTAATAAACCAAGAATTAAACAAAAATAAACAAACACTCTAACAATAGAATAATCAAATCATACTAACATTTGACTATTCCATTTGCATATAACAGATCAGAGCCCCAAAAAGTATAAATATTGGTTGGTTATATCTTAATCATTATATCGACCTATTTTCAAAATAATTGTTCAAGGTAAAAGGATATTTTATTTAGTCATTGGAGAGTTAATTTTTCACAAAAAGGAAGCAAATCATTTTGATATTTATTCTCTAGTAATTTTCCTAATAAAAAGCAAGAATATTTTATCATGTGCTATTTTTTGAATGTTAAATTACATAAGCAGTACACTATACTCTAGAACATTATCGAACATATATCAATAAGATCTCTAAAACATTGAATTAAATTTGTTTGTGTTTAAAAAAAGTCTATTTCGTAACAGTATAAAGATAAGCGTTGTCCATCCAATTCACAATTAACAGCCGATCAGTTGATCTGTCGTAACTTAAAGCCCATGGATTCATTATACCATCCTTCGTGGACAGTAATTGTCGATATCTATGTCCACATGGTGAAATAACCACAACATTTCCAACCTTGTTGTCGACAACATACACTTGTCCTTCGTTGTCTACTGTGACACCTAACGGTTCAGGTAAGATACTATCTTCTTTAAATGTCCATTTTGGTTTGCCCTGAAGATCACAACAGGTCACAGACCTGGTTTCAAAATCGGTGTAGTAAATGTAGTCTGCAAACAATGTTATATAAGCATTGGGACTTATGCTACTAGTGACTACAGTTGTCATGGATGCATCGCGAATATTTATCATTTGTATTCCCTGGTTCCCAGCACAGAAGACGAAGTAGCCATCTCTGTAGACTATCCCACCAATTGGATAATCAAATGATATTGTTTTAGTGACTTTCCGTTTTGCCATGCAGATGATATGTATATGCCCACGGATACGACATTGGCTTGAAACAGCGATTGTATTGTCATCTGGATTATATGTAGCATCAAAAAGTTTGCCTAGTTTTATAGTGACGTTAAACTGGTGAATATACTGACTATATCTGTTGATCAACTAGTTATTGCTATTATGCCACCCGACAGTATCACACAACCTTTAATGCCCCCATTTGTTCTGAAAGTCTGTTTTAAGGTAAGCTTGATGCCATCAATCGATCTGGTGTATAATTTAGGAGCTTCTAGTTGTGCTTGAACATTCTTCCTTTGAACAATATCGATGACAGATGGTTTATAATTTGTAAATACGTCTCCAAATCTTTGAAAATTTGTTGAGAACCTCTCTAAGCCTGTATCTACCTTAAGAAACAGATATGCTTCTTTAAGACTACTACTAGAAACTAGTTTTTGTATTTCTTTAGAACTCTCGGTAGTAACTTCATCCATATGTTTCATAGCAAGGAATGCCTGAAGGTCAGAAGAATACTGTCTTATATTAGCCATATTACTCTTGAGTTCTTTGATTTCTCTTTTCTTTTTTCTAAGTGATTTTTAACAAATTACGTATCTGCAGACATTCTTTCTCTTCAACCTGATTTAGCTTCTGTATTAAGTTGTCTTGTATTAGATCAAGATGGGAGTTTATGCTCAATCTTACTTGCAGTATTTCTTTCTGAATTTTCACTTTTTGACCTTTTATTGATTTCAAATTTGTTTCCCTGTTCTGTGTTATTTTTATATGGCGTTCAGCAACTTCTGTAAAAGTCTGTTCTATTTCCTCGAACGCGCTAGATGTTTTCACATTTTGTATCATATCATCGATGGGAAATATTTCTTTGCAAGTATTGTGAGTTTCAGATATGCACCTTCTGCAACACAGAGAGTCGTGTTTCTTACAGTACATTTGAAATTGTTCGTTATGTTTATTGCATGCCTGGGAAATTTGCAAGACATCAGACGGCAATTTCTCGTAGTCTGAAACGGATATAACAATGTGATTTCTTGATAACTTAGACAAACTATGATATTCTTTACAGTCCCCACAAAGGCCTTTGATAAGATAAAAGATACAATATATATTTTAAAACGCGAATAACACAGATTAAGTATGCTCAAAATGAATATACGACAATGATGAAACAAGTCAACGACAAAAAAAAAG